TCGTCTCCGTTCTCACCGTCAGATCAAGGCCGTCCAGCAGGAACGCCGTGTTCACTTTTGACTTTGACAGGATTAAGACGTCTCCCCTCTGCTGTCAGACTTCATCAGGACGACGCTGAGCTTCATTTTGAATTCTGGTGAGGTCAGCTCCACTCTTTAAACTCTCTCTCTCTCTCTCTCTCTCTCTCTCTCTCTCTCTCTCTCTCTCTCCTCAGATCGTCCCTGACCTGCCCTCACTGTCTGAAACAGAGCAACACCTTCGACCCTTTCCTCTGCATCTCGCTCCCCATTCCTCTGCGACAGACCAGGTGAGCACTTTGAATCCATCGAGAACTTAACCATCCTGTCACACGATAACAAACCACTCCAAAGACGTGATGTTAAACTTTTTTAAAACTAAAGTATTTCCTGCTCCCTCAAAAACAACATATTTACACTATTTCCCCAAAATAACCTGCAGGAGGCACCAGTCCTTTATTTGAATCGGTCTTTTATTTTGGAAGCAGATCTTTTGCTCTTTTTGATCGATTAAATTCATTTATTTATATCAGTTCAGTAAGAAGAGTCGTGATGATGACGGTACAGACTGCAGAGTGTGAGAGCGCCCTGAGACACTCGGTCTTTACGGCGAGCTTTAGGCAGGATTTAAAGACACATTTAATCATTTTAGGTTAAAAAAACGTTCTCTTCGTTCTTATTGAACGTTCATCTATGTTTTATATTTTTACTTCCAGCTGGTGCCAAACAGGTTCTGGTTTTGATCACAACAGATGCATAAAGAAGTCTTTAAAGGTTTTATATGTGATTTTTTGATCCAGCAGATGTCGCCCTTGAGCTCCAGCATTAAACCAAAACAACTGGCGCTGCATTGTTGTGTTAGCATGCTAATGCTAGCGATCTTTATTATGCTGGTATCTTCACACTGCATGTAAATTTACCTGAAATGAGCGTGATCTAGAAACACAGTTAAGCAGTGAGTACAGTATGTTATTCTTCTTTTCTCTAGTCCCTCAATTAAACAACTTTTATACACGAGGGGAGGAGTCAGCCGGCCGTCCTGTCGATGTAAACAAAGTGAAGATAGGACTCTGAAAACTCTGAAAACTGTGAAAACATCACAGACAGTGGGACTCGGGTGTTACACCCATTGTAGACAGTCATGACTCACAGAGTTATTTTCAGAGGAGATATTTGATTTATACATTTAAGTGTGAAAAATCACATAGAAAGACTTTAAAGTGGCTAAAGTTTTTGATTTAATCAACATAAATCAGGATATATTCAGAGTAGGAGCTCCCACAGTTATCTGTGTTTGGTGTGTGGTTGTGATGTGCACGATCAGCCGATTTAAAAAAAGAAAAGAGGACAAAATTAAAAGGTGAGCGGTCTTTATTAGATGAAACACAACAAGGAGAAAAGCTGCATCAAAATCAGGATTGAAAACTGAATCGTAAGCTTTTGGCCGAAGTCTTCAGGATGAAATAAACCGTCCACTCAGCAGCGCCTCGGTATGTGGAGCTGCTCTCTCTCTCTGTGATTAAAACTCGCAGCTATGTGATCATCGTTGTGCTTCTGCAGGGTTCCTCCTCACCGCTCTGTAACAGGTCGTCACGGTTCAGCCAACGTCCCTTCTAATTCTGGAAACTGTTTTTAAAAGAGCTTTGTTCTGAGCGTGAGCCAAGCAGAGAGAAATCAGTCACGTCATCTTTTTACAAAACAGATCAGCAGACGGGGAAGCAGATGGGTCGTCTTTAAAAACATTTTTTAAATGTATTTCTCTGTGAAAGGTTCGACTCTCTCTCTCCTAGCCGAGGCTCGTCTCTGAGCCAGAGAAAAACACTTTGGACTCCGTCCCACACTGAATGTAAAGCTCTGAACGCCACACTCACCTTTATACTGACGATCAAACTCATTCATCAGCAGAGTTATTTTTATTTTTATGGATTTATTGGAAAGGGAATCATTCAAAGTCAATATTTCTGCACGGTGGGAGACGAGCGCTCCAGAAGTAAGACGCTCTTGTTGCTGCCGCCATGTTTGTTTTGTTGATGCGTCACTCGGCTGAGGCGGCGCCTGTGCAGGTCGGTCGGTAGCTGTCAGAAACCGATGTTAGGCGTAAACATGTCACAGTATCCTGAGTTCTCCAGCAAGCAAAATCTGGATATGATGTTCACCTGCAGCTTGAGCTTGTTCATTTATTTTTTAGTCTTCTGACTCCTCAAAGCTCTTTCACTCTGCAGGTCACACCTACACATTCACTCACTGATGGTAGAGGCTGCTGAGTAAAGAGACCATCAGTATTAACTCATCCATTCATACACATTCATTCACTGATGGTAGAGGCTGCTGAGTAAAGAGACCATCAGTATTAACTCATCCATTCATACACAGCTGACGAAGCAGCAGGAGCGACTTAAGGTTAAGTGTCTTGCCCGAGGACACACCGGTAGAATCAGTCATCTCTTTTAAGTCTCTTCTTAAGACACACTTTTTCCGGCGA